ATTTTGTTATCAGTAACTTAAAACCATGCATACTACATATTATTGTTATACACACCAAGGTACTACAATCTGCTGATACCTATGATTTGGCATTGCACAAGGTCATGTCTTTCTCTGACTGTTAATAACGTCTTTAAACTAAGTCCATTGGATGTTGGATGTGTCCTGAATAATATTTTAGTCTTAGATACATGATTTTTGTATTAGTTGTTATTGGCTTCCAACTAGCTGTCAATACTGCGATTACTCTCAGATCTGTACTTTGTGTCCTTTTTTTGTTTGTTAAGGATGTATTAATACCCTGCCACGTCCGGTCTGTGATGTTAGATGTTTTTTTTACTGTTTTTATCGATGTGGTATGTTAAGCCCTTTTCAACTGATTTTATAGTTTGTTCTTATGTTGTGCTGTAACAAAACTGTCCCAGGTTAAGGGGAGGGTTGAGCGCTCACAAACATATTTAACCCCGCCACATACTGTATGTGCCTGTACCAAGCTAGGAGCCTGTTGTTCAGTCGTTGTTGATGTCTGTCATATTTGTTTTTTGTTTTATTGTGTTATAAATTAGGCCGGTATTTTTCTCAATTGAACTCTTTCATATTTTTCATGTGAGGGCCTAGTATACCTGACTATACTGTATGGTTTTTTTTCTCATTGTTGAAGGTGGTACGGTTGCCTACATTGTATATATAACTGCTTACATCCACTTCATTTGAACTTTGGGGATAGTTGTCACATTGGCAATCATACCACATCTCCTTATTAAAAAATGTTGAGGGGGTTGAAATTTGTATTTCTTAGGAAAGTTCCAATGTTTTCCTCCCAGGTCACCCAGTTTTAATTGGATATTTTCACATTTTGCTGTACCCTTGGATCTGTGTTTAGAGCCAACCAGAGCTTACTGCCTGTTGATGGGTAGGTAGTTGAAGACCATATTTTGAGCTCTAGGTGTCTTTTTGTGTATTGCATATGGTGATTTGGTGATGTCTTCATGCCATTGTCCCATTACTTTGTACAGACAGCTTATAAGTCAACCTTATCTATCAAAGACGACAAATGATGGCCAAAGCTCTCCTGGGCTTTTATATAGTCAGGCGAGAAACAAGATATAAACTGACTTGGCTTGTATAAACATGTATATTTAGTAAACTCGTACAAATTCAAGTCAAATTAATATTTTAAGACAACATCAAATATAAAAGTGTAAAAAAAAATGTTTTTAATAAATGTTGAAAATTTTATTAGGGCCCCGCCGAATGTCGGCGCCCTATAGTGATCAGTCTGTCCGTCCGTCCGTCCGTCTGTCTTTCTGTTCGTCCGTCCGTAACAAATTGTGTCCACTCTATGTATAGAGAACCGTTACGATTTCAAAGTTTATACTTGACATGTATATTAACCAACACCAGAGGGTGTGTCATAATGTATGTACAAATTCCTAGGTCAAAGGTCAAGGTCAAAAACTTTGGTTTCAGTTGACAACCTCATGTCCTATGGTAAAGATACAAATTTTTTAATGCACATTATTCACAGCGGGGCCCACAGAGATGGCTCCTATCTCAATGATATCTAGTTGTGTTTGTGAGTGACCGTGGATAAAGGCATGTTTTATGGTCTGGGTTAAAAAAAAGTATTAACTTCGGGTACAAATCCCTGCCACACCCCAGAGAATCAAATGGTTGCTTCCTTGGGAACAATAGAGATTGCAGATGATGAGAATGAATATCAGATAATATGTTTTTGTTCTGCGGCGACGTTAAAGGAACACCAATCAGTCAATCGATCTTTATGACTATGGCTTCAGTTGTGTAATATTTCTTGTTGTAAAAGTTCATTTTCTGCTTTGTGCAGACTTATTAAGACTTGGAATAGATCTACGAAGACTAATGAACGGTCATGTGTGGTTTTGCAATTTTATATGCCTACCGATGTCTAGATATGATACGATGCTACCGGACATAGAAAAAACTGTCCCTTTTTCATGGAAAATTAAACTGTTACAATATATAAAAGGATACTAAACTGGCTCTCTTTTCTGTAAATACAAATAAAAAGCTGACATGGGTTAAACTAAAGCTAGAAATCCTAGTCTCCCGACATAAATTCATTTAAAAAGACCATATATAGATATAAGAAGATGTGGTATTAGTGCCAACGAGATAACTCTCCATCCAAGTCACAATTTGTAAAAGAAAAACCATTAAAGGTCAAAGTACGGTCTTCAACACGGAGCCTTGGCTCACACCGAACAGCAAACTACAAAGGGCCCCAAAATGACCAGTGCAAAACCATTCAAACGGGAAAACCAATGGTCTAATCTATATACTAAACGAGAAACGAGAACACTTATGAACCACAACAACAAACGACAACTACTGAACATCAGGTTTTTGACTTAGGACAGGTGCAAACAAATGCAGCGGGTTTAAACGTTTTAATAGGTACCAAATTCACCCTTACCCGAAACAATAGTGTCACATATGACCTTAAAATTTAACATTGAAGGGCTAAACTTGCATTGAGTCTTGTTTAGGCACTAAAATAGAAAATAAAGAGATGTGGAGTAAATGTGCATGGGACAACATCGCACACAATACATAGAAAAAATGAAAATTATCAATGAACAGGGCTTTTATTCTTGTTCTTCATCTTGAAATTAGCCGGAGGGTCTTCAACGAGGCAACGAACCATTCATACCCTAAAAACAACAGCCACACACCTGACTATGTGGATTACAATGTTTTGCTTTATCCTACATATGTCTTTTGATGTTGTCCCTAAATACTAAAAGTCTTACACTGAATCTATATATTTTGATATATTGTCGAAAAAATAAATAAAACAAAACTTGCGTTTTAGATTAAGAAAAGGTCCGAAAGAAACGTTCAGAATGCACGATTTTGCGTCATTTTTTCCAGATCTTTTGGGGACCTTGAGCCCTAGACCCCTCGCCCAAAATATATTTTGCTTCACTTGTAATAGAGGCTAGTTACGGCATGTCTTATCATCTTAGATCAACCTTTCTAAACTTAAAAGTAAAGATCACGCACCCTTATTGTTCAGATTGATAAAGACTTTTGCATCCGTCGACATTAACTTCGATTTAAATACGATAGATCTGATAACTGCTGTGCATGTATACTTTAACGACTGGGCTAGTTTTCTTATCAGTTTTAAAAGTAGTAACCTCCCTTGTTAATTTGATATAATGTTGTAATATATCTATCTATTTGTACCATTTTTTATATAATATTATATTGTACAATTTAAATTTATGATTTGTTTAATATTTAAATATATATTTTTTTTTAGTAAAGATATAAACAAGTTAATTTGAAAGGCTTTGATTCATTTATCACCGTAGTTCAATTCATAAGTCAGGCGGTCTATTTTGTCTACATTATGTTGAAAGAACACCGGGGTGTTTACATTGACATTATTTACTATCAATGACTGTGAAACAAGAAAGGAAAACATTGTACATTATAAAACGAGAATAATTAGAATTACACTCAAAATTCATCTATAATGAAATCAAAAACGAAAAATGGAAACACTTTTGATTTTCATTTTGGTTTAAGAGAAATCAAAAACAAAAAATGAAAACACTTTCGTTTTCCGTTTTGTTATAAGAGAAATCAAAAACGAAAAACGAGAACACTTTAAATTTGTTTTTCGTTTTGGTTTTTGAGAAATCAAAAACGAAAAATGAAAACACTCTCGTTTTTTGTTTTTTGTTTTTGATATTTCAAAATGAAAAACGAATGGACGCAAATATACACGGACCCAGCAAGTCTGAAGATTGCTAAAAGCAGAAATTTCAGAGATTTAAGCAACGTTTGAATATTGCTACAAAATTAAACATGCATAAGGAGGACATTCCTAATCAAAATCAAAATTCTATAGAAAGTTAGCTTTATTTAACGTGCAATTTTTATAGATACGAGTATATATTAGATTATTTTTTTATCGTAATGTCTTCAAAAACAACACGTTAAGCTGAAAAACTTTGACATTTTGAACCTGTGAATTATACAAATACAGGGGAAATTGGCTCAATGACGTTCCTTTAAACGCAAGAATGTTGAAGTAACTAATGATAAGTACTGATTATCAGGTTGTTTGCATATTGATATTGTAAAATAGCAGCCGCGAGTCACAATATGAAGCTCGAAGCGAACGAGTCTAAAAAGGCTTCATATTGTGTCGAGCAGCTGATATTTTATAATATAAGTATGATGAAAATCTGGTAATCGATATATCGGATTGTTTTTTGTGTATTTGGCATGACAGACACAACTCATATCCAGAAATCAACGCCACTTTGCTTATTTGAATATTATACTAAAGAAATCGGATACGGGTCACTGAAATTAAATTGAAATGATAGGGAATTTTGAAAAAAAATGTATGTTTTAACTTTAGTTTAAGTGATAGAATGGTTGCGGGGACAGAAAATAAATATACACAACAATATACACCATTTAAACGAAACATAATGACCGTCGTTGCAAAAATCTAGGTTCCCACGTAAAGTTAAAATGCCCCTATTTCAAGAAGAAAAAATTCGCGTTCATTGATTTGATTTTGACCGCCTGACAACTTTACGGAAATATCAGAGTGATTATAAACAAGGACTCTGTGACGGGCAACTTATAATATCCGTGTTTTAAAGATTTTAATGATATCAAGCCAGTCCAGTTCAAACTATTATCACGTGGTACAATTCTCATTTACATATTATGAATATTAATTAGCAAAAGTACTACTAATTTCTGGCTATGTGTTTTACTTTGTTTCACAAGCAAACCGGAAAATGACGTGATAAGTTCGGGTCAACTTTATCAACGTCGGTGATATGTCCGGGTCAAAATTATTAAGGTGCGGGTCAACGTATTTGACGTTACAAAGCCGTGATATGCATTTTTATGAAGAGCTGAGCAGAGTGATACAGACAGTGGTAATACCGATAAACTTTCTTAACGTTTCTTTACATTTCATTAAGGCCGTTGTCAAAATTCAGAGGCAGGTGTAACAGCAGATATACAGTAAAGATACCAAGAAGACCATACACATATACGACGTCTATTCCACGGTGAGTTTAAACACTATGAATAATGGATATTATCTATAATGTTTTTTTTTTCTTAATTACAGACTTTGCGTCTTTTACTTTGAGGCACAACAAGTGTCAAATGAAAATAATCGTGGTCAGAAAATGATAGGCTAACTAACATTGTGTAAAGGTATTGTTTTGCTTTGTTCTGTTACCAGTAACTATTGTGTAAATGTATTATTTGGTGCATTACATGAGCGAGTAAAATCTTAACCGTGTGACCACTTTTATCAAATTTAGTTTAAACCCATGTCTTTAATTGAAAACAGATTAACTACACTGTAAAAGTCGTGCTTAGAAATTAAACACTTGTATTACATGTTTAGATCTAAACGTGTTTAGGATTGTGTTTAATTTCTAAACACATTTCTCAGTAAGCACATAATATCTAAACATGTCTTGAATTTAAACACTTTTAATGTGTTTAAAAATGAAAGTGTTTAGAAATTAAACACTTTTTTCTAAGCTAAACACGATTCTAAACACAATCCTAAACACATTGTACTGAGACACGTTTAGATCTAAACATGTAAAAAAAAGTGCACAAAAGATGTGCTTAGAAATGTGTTTAGGATCTAAACACCATTTTTACAGTGTATATATCTTGGATTGTAAAATAGTAGTACACAATTGGTCGTGCACTTTGCTTAAAAATTAAAATTTTGAGACAGAAAGGCAAAGTGTAAGACTGTTTATTTTTAATAAGAAATACTTATCGTTGATTTAATGTAGTATAAAGACTGCTTTAACAAATACCAAATATTTGTTTTTGATTGTTTCAATTTTTCAACAGAGCCATTTAAGGGGAGATAGCTCTTTAAGTTAATATTTTCTAAAGGAGTGTAAATGAAATTTTCATTTTTTACTTGTAGCAAAAAAAAAAAACAAGTTCGTTGACACCATTTCTTATTTTTATTTTCTAAAAGCATACTAAAAGACCTACGAAATGTATCGTCTCATATTTTATTTCATTATATCTAATAGATTTGTTTCTATTCACAAATAAGTACCTTTTTCACGAAGGATCTATGCAATTAGGAAATTTTGCATAAGTTGGCATTGTTTGCTAGAAGCTTGAATAATAGCAGTGTGACGATGCCTTTTATTATATATATTTTTTTAAAACATGGTAAAATCTACATTTTTTTGCAAAGTATAAGAAAAAATTCTATCTGGGGTAATATTTGGTGATGATCCCCCTTTTATAAACTCTAAGAAATCTGTTGAATATGGTTATCACATTTTATATAAGTATCTTTTATTTTGAAAAGTTGAAATGTATTTTTTATGGTTTTATTTTATATCATATAAATACCGTTCATATTACACCATCGCTGCGGCATTTACAGATACATTTACTTTTAATACTCACTCTTATTTTTTTAACTGTCTAGTTAAGTTTTCACAGTGACGCTTTATCGTTTGTGTTCTTTTTTTTTGAAAGATATTTGTATGCTGGGCAGGCGAGAGAATACTAGAATTAAATTCGATATTTCGATTAGATACCCAACAGAAATTTTGGCAAATTAAACAGATATTAAACATGTTCAAGGAGGGTTATTTATTGTAAACACACCAGTTTCGAAAAAAAACATCCCTCCCATTTACAAGATCGACAATTTTTTCGCAGTCTTAGATACCATAATAGTCGTCTTATCTGAACTAATCAGCCGATTGTGACATTTTTAGTGAATTTTGATTCGCTTGGCTGGTGGTGCTTGCTTAGAAAAATACGCTTACCCTGAAGACTCACCTAGTCTCGTTTCTTTAGTAGTTTTCCCTCAGTTTTTGTTTGTTACCTTTATTTATCTTCTTAACCTTAATCTTTGATTTCCCTGCAGGAACACTTGAGATCACCCCCAGTTTTTTTGTGAGGTTCGTGTTGATCAGTCTTTAGTTTTCTATGTTGTGTTGTGTATACTGCTGTTTGTTTTTTGGTATTTTTTGGTTTTTTGTCATGACGTTGTGGGTTTATTTTCGACTTATGAGTTTGAACGTCCCTTTGGTATCTTTTGCCTCTCTTTTAATCCGTATACAAGATCTGACCATTCGTAAACTACGGTTGTCCTAATTATTCAGCAGGACATTTTACCTTCTTTTAACATGTATATTTTGCAAATACTTATCAGAAACATCTTTTAGACAGTTGCGTATCAAGAAACATTAAAATGGACGTTGCATTACCTTAGTTCAAACTGATTATGAATCAATGATTTTAACTGAAACACTAGCCACGGGTACGGTTTAAAGCTACATTGTACACGATCAACATTTTACACGGTAGTTCATTCTTAAGTACTCCAAAACTGTCTGCATAAAACATAGATTAATTAATAACATAACAGTGTCCCCACAACATCATAGTATTACGTATAAATTATTTCATACGTGTAAATATATTGTTATGCGAATAATCGGTGTAAAATTACTGTTTCGCTGAATTATTTGACAATGACTATACTCTTTATTTTATTTAAAGCACATGATCTATAATGTAAGCTGGGTCAGTATAAAAATATGGAGATGTGGTATGATTGCCAATGAGACAACTATCCACAACAGTTCAAATTAAGTGGATGTAAGCAATTATAGGCAACCGTACGGCCTTCAATAATGATAAAAACACATACCGTATGGTCGACTATAGAGGCCCCGACATGAAAAATATGAAACATTCAATTGAGAAAAACTAACGGCCTAATTTATAATAAAACAGTTTACGAAAACCAAATATGACAGACATGAACCAACGACAACCACTGAACTACAGGCTCCTGATTTGGGACAGGCACATAACGAATTAACAGTATGTTAATTTCTCTAATAGCCAAGTAAAGAATTCGAATAAAACTTTTTTTAGATTGTACGTCTTACTTCACTCTCGGCGATATTCAAGGGCATGTTTTCCCATTCAAAATTTCTCTGTTAGTGTTAATACTACCACTTGTCGATACCTCTGCTGTTGAACTGTTTGTTCACCAGGAGATCACCAGCACTGTAGCCAGTACTTCGGTACTTGCATGAAAATACGGATATTGTGTTTAACTTATTAAAATTTACTATTATAAACTTTTGGAAATCATTTAAATTTAAGAATTATATATCTCCCTCGTGCAAAACTCTGATCCCTTGCCAAGCTTTGACTAGACTGTTTGTCTGCATATGCAAGGAAATACTTATAATATTACAATCGGTAGTGGTATGCAACGTTTTTTTCGAATACATGTAGTTAAACCGACGTTCTGAATTTTTGTACTTTTAAAACACAATCCTCAGAATAAAACCTTTCTAAAACATAATTGTCAAGAGTTTCGCTAATCACAAGCAGCTGCATTTTAGTGTTTAACTATCTTTAATTCAGAGATATGTCATAAAAACAACAAAGAATTACAAGTAAATGTATTCTTATCTCTATTTTATATATTACTGCAGCACAACAAGACCGACTACATCTTGGTATAGAATCAGACATCGATACAGAAACAGAAACAGATATACAACAAGCAAAACATCTACAAAGGCGGTGACTGTTGCAATTCAGTAGTGAGTTTACTGGCTTCGAATTATAGATATATACGCAATCATAGGTTTGAACATTGTTTTCAATTTAAACGTGTATATACAGATAGATATATACATATCAAACGAATAGATGTACATCATAAGCAGGTGTAATTGCAAAGAAACCAGTCGTGAGAAGACAAGAATAAGCGAGGAAAACGTCGTTTCCAAACAGGCATAAATTGAAGCATAGATAAATCATACGCCGACGTTTACTGCATATATCCATATCTAAAATGCAAGATGTATTGAATTCGATATATGTGCACATGCTCCTTCGTTTGACGTTCGCTAGAATCGCGCATCGTGATGGGTGATGATTTTATGAGGAGATGCTTATCGTTTCGACCTACTTGTTTTCACTCCATTTGAAGTTAAAAAATTCAGCTCCCATGATTTTCTGTATATACTTTCACCTAAAATATTTCGGCCGATATTGACACACAGCTGTTACATTCGAATATCATATGTTATTCAGGTCTCAGACAGGGTATATACTGTGACATTCCCGGCTTAGAGTTTATATCTGCTGAGCCGAAGGCGAAGGGGATATAAGCCCAAAGCCGGGAATGTCACAGTATATACCCTGTCTGAGACCTGATTTACATATATATTACGAATTACCCCTGTCTTAATGTTTTTTCCAGTGCACGTATTTGTTAAACATTCACAATGCAGCATGTATATTCATTACATGTTTATTGTTTCTTAATAGTTTGAGTAATCCAATTAAATGCACCTTTTTTATCTTGACAATTTTTTTTCGTTAAGAAAATGTTTTCAATAAAGATTTTAGATTTCATGTTTTGTGTTTGTATGTGTGTGTGGCATCGTTTTTTACAACATATATGTAACACTCCCAAACGTGTCCTTCCCCCCAAACGTGTCCGATTCCCCCAAACGTGTCTATTCTCCCCAAACGTGTCCGTAATATTCAATATTCCCCAAACGTGTCCGATTTCATAACCCCCAAACGTGTCCGATAATTGTTATTCGCCAAAACGTGTCCATTATTACACGCCAGAACGTCTTACGTCTTTTACCGCTAATATATGCATGTCCCAAATCAATAACGTTTACGGCACTTCTATGATGGGGGACAAAGTTGATGAAGAGGGCATTTATTAGCATTAGTTTGTTCAATGCCAGTTGTTAATGATTAGCAATAAAAAAATATTGCAAATTCAATTTGTAACATATGAATTGACTTTTGAATGAAATTGATTATTGTCCAGTTGCAAGTATTTCATGCTCATTTAGAGCGAACATACATATAATTCTTGTACTGTTGAATTAATCGTTTAATATGTAAATTATTTTGTACTAGTAAACTCCGTTGATGCATTTTATATTACTCCAAATATTGCACTTTTTTTCAGCAGAATTGACTTCCTTTCTTTCAACAGTTCTGATATTTTAAAAGCTCTTAAAATCATAAACTGGGAATCAGGTTTTTCAATAAATTTTAGGTTTCGAACATCACTAAAGACACACGAACAAGAGACATAACGTCCAGTGCCAAATATTTAATGCATTATTTGAAAGATATCATGTAAGCAATAAAATACATTTGTCATTTCGGGGCCTTTTATAGCTGAATATGCGGTAAGGTTCTTTTATCATACCGGAAATTTAAAATAAGACCTAAATTCTAACGGTTATTCGGGATTAACACTAGTTGGGATTTTAATTTAAAAAATTCAAGAGCGAGTAAAAACGATTTTTTATGACTTCAGTAAGAAACGCGCAGACAATGGGACATTCTCCCTTCACGAGGTGTCTGATTTATTATCTTTACGTATTTATGATATTGACACGAATGATAATTCCAGTAAAAAAATATGGAAATATTTGGGGGATTGGACACGTTTGGGTGGTTTTTTTTAAATGGACACGTTTGGGCGTTTATACAAATGACAAGCTTTGGCGCTGTTTTTCAATTAGACATGTTTTGCAGTTCAGTGACGTCGATGTAGACACGTTTGGGGGAATCGGACACGTTTGGGGGGAAGGACACGTTTCTGAGTGTTACATATATATTGAAAAACCCTACCTAATATGTTTCGCATACGTGAAGGATTTTGTAATTTGCTGTGAAAATAATTTTATCGTGTATGTGATCATTTATGATAACACTTCAAAACATTAAATTTTAGTAATTGAAGTGTAAATTGCGTGATTTTGTATTACAAAATTAATGAATTATTGACGGATGCACGTCATTGTTTTCCCTCTATGAGCCTCTGACATTCCTTAGTGTTCTGTATAGCTTTTGACTACGTCACATAGTGACAGGTGTAATTATGACGTTTTTGAGGTTCCAATTGGGGGTAAAAACGTCATATATACCCCGGCAGTTTCCTGAATATATACTGACATCTCTGTGTTGTTATCCAATCACAAAACTCGACACATTTGTTATTCGTAATATTTGTTAATACTTAATTACAAAGGTTGAATTAATATTTTTCCTATAAGAATTCAATCTTTTCCAAAATAAAATCGATTGTTTCCTTAAATACAAAAAACTGCTAGATAGTGTTATACTATCTTTTATCCACACGCATCTAGCTATAACAAACGAGGAAAAAGTAAAAATACTCATATTCATGCAGCACAACCAGACCAACGACATCTACGTTCAAAAACAATTATCGATACAGATATAAACAAAGATATAACACCAAAGTTTATACAAAGGCGATTGTTGCAATTCAGCAGTGAATTTACTAGTTCATAATTAAGGATACATTTATAGTTTTACAAAGTAGAAAACCCAACAAGAGATCATGTACGGATGATTGTATAAAATTTCAAACAATTAACACATTCTTACTGTGAGGTTTTTGCGTCAATGTCAAGAATTGGCGATATGACCAAGGTATCTGTTTATGGTTACATTGCAGAAATATAGTCCAGATATATTTTGTGTGGTGAAGATCCCACGACACTGTGATATAATCTACTACTGTCAGTTAAGGGTATAAAAGATATTTCTTTTTTCGAGTTTTTGAATCTTCACTCCCTTGAAATGATAGTACCCCCGCATGTTTATTCAACATCGGCACATACAGAAAGGAAGTTTATGTTTTTTGAAAATATTTCGCATTAAGTTTTGTTATGTAGGATCGTTCAACTGATATTGATTCATATTTTTTATGTTCGAATATTTGTTATAGTTAATAATGAAGGGTAAACATTATTTTGCCTATAAGAATTGTATCTTTCCCAAAACATAATCGATGGTTTCGGAACATACAAGTAACTGCTAGAAGTTGTTCGACTATCTCTAATTTAAATGCATGTCTAGCTATCGTAAACTATGAAACAGTACGATAATTTTATATGTTTTTAGCACAACAAGACCAACGACATATGTGTATAGAAATAAACATCGATATAGATATAGACAAAGATATGACAGCAAAACTTATACAAAGGCGACTATTGCTATTCCGCAGTGAGTTAACTGGCTTAGAATTATAAGTTCATTAAGATATTTTAATTTATATTTTTGCAATGTAAAAACATCAATAGATCATGAAGAGATTTTCGTTCAAGATTCTACACATGAAAAAACCTCTTACTTTTCAGGGTATAAGATAAAAATTATTGTGATTTCGTTCCCTTCGTTTTGTTATCTAACAAACATCATTCTGTACAATGACCTTTTCGTAACATATAATTTATAGATATGCCAATTCTTTTTTGTGTGTATGCCATTCTTACCAAATGCAAGTTTTATAAGAGTCTCATTTCGTATCAGGTGGCGTTATTCTGTATGCCAATTATGTGGTTATAATTGTGGTAAATTCTATCACATTGATGTATATTCAACATGTCCTTTTATCCAAATGTGATAATCGAAAGTTTGAATCATATTATTTGTCGAAAGCGATGCAAATCTGCAGAACGGAAAGCCTTCTGAATACATTTAAACGGTGTACGTTTGTCAAACAGTCTAATACCTTCGTCATAATGCGAAATCCAACACATTTTGCCTAATTTTTATGGAGTCAGTTTCCTCAGCCCAAACAGAGGGTATAAAGGGGAAATCTACAAAAAACGACTAGTGGTCAAATTAGAAAAAAAAAATTGAAGAACATTTAAAAAACAAACGAAACAAAGTTACTTTGAAATTTGCATATGAAAAAATCTTTATTCATGAGTATCTTAAAAATACGAGGCCTTTTACATTCATATAAAACATTGCGTAATTTGCTAAAAATGTGTAACCAGGAAACGTCAATTGGAGAATTAACTTACAAGGACTAGTTTGACAGTTTCCCTAAAAAGAGTCTGCGATATGAAAAAACAACAGATCACCTTGTTATTTTTGGCCTAATGACAATACATGACGACATATATAAATGCCATATAGTATGAAATTTTTAACTGTCGTGTTTTCAAGGTCATGTTAAAATTGTAACAAATTGACGCAGGGTCAAAATTAAATAATCGATGGAGACTTGCAAATATGATATATATTGTATCAAAAACCAATTGTATTTGCTAATTGAGAAGCGGAATAAAATAATTTAAGACACCAGGGAAGATTAATTATGTAGTTTTATAGCTTAGACTGATATAAATGAGTGAGAAATTTATACTGTAAATGTTTAAGATGTCTCTGTAGTGGCCAGTGGGTCAGATTTGTCTAACTTAATTATTTGATTATTTGTCTAAATTATATAACACTTTTTCACGTGAAGAGAACCAGTGTGTGAGTGGATTCCATCCTTCTAATTGGTCAATGATCTTGGCAATGCGGGGTCAGCACGAATTCACGTTTATGTGCCATGTGTGCGCTTCCTTTTATCATTAGCTTTCGTCTTGATAACTTGTAATTCTAATACATTGCGTGAAATTTAAATTCCAACCCGCAAATCTCCCTTTTAATTTATCTTTATAAGTAGTTTTATAAATATATATAAGAAGATGTGGTATGAGTGCCAATGAGACAACTCTCCACCCAAGTCAATATGTTAATTCAGTGGGGCAGATTTTTCTCCCCACCTTTGCTATTCTTTGTCATTTATTCAATTGATATGATTTAAGTTGATTTAATTTCGTATTAATTATGAATTATAATTGCATATTAATTATGAACTTTTATGTCAAATGTTTTATTTGCAAAATGTATTTTTTTGCATTTTATGATATATTTTTTGTTCGTCAATCTTGTTTTTGTACATATAGAAACAAGGTCAGACTCTGGCCTGTAGTATATATTAGTATGTTTATGGTATTTGTCTGTCAGTTTTAAAATAACTTATATTAGAGATGTTGCAGAACTGAAGTATTTAGATACGAATACGTATCGAAGTATTCATATACGTGCGATACAGTTAAAATGAGTATCTTTTTTTCTGAACCGATACCTCAATCAATGTATTGATTAAATAAAAAAAATGGTATTTTGTCATGTGTACTAGGTTTTTACTGTATGCTTAATTTATATACAATCATTGGAGTACAGAAAAATGATATTTAAAGATATAAATCAGAATAAAGTGTAATTTCGAGATTCGAGTTTACCTTACTATTTATGATTGCTCTTGAACTACGAAAGAATATCTGTAAACTTGTGTAGTTAAAAATATCTGCCGTGTTCATTATGTATTAATACATTAAAGTAAGATTTTGGAGAACAAGGTAATTTTGGCATTTTCACAAGAAAAATCTTGGCGAAATGTTAAATGATGCATTCATAAAATTACATTGAAATAAGTTTCCACATAAATGTAAGAGATTGTTCTGTAAAAACTTTGACTTGCATCTCTGTCCCGGCAACCGTATTTTGAAAAATAAAATCCTTAAAATTTGTAACAATTATATCATGTTAATGAAGTCAGGTACACCTTTTATTTTCAAGCTTGTTTTGGTCACCTGTTTTGTCCTTTAAATGTAAAATACAGAAACAAAGAGTATATCATCTTGCTTCAAATTCCTTCATTTTTTATATTTCAAAGGTATATGTTTATATTAACATTCAAATATCATATTACTAGAAAACAAAATATATGGTTCAAGTGAAATATCTTTGTAATGCGTCATCATAACAGGGTAGGCGTGTTTGAATATAAAAATAACATTGTGCTTGAATTTAATTTCATTTGATCAATTATTAAGATAAGATTAAGGCATACTAATTATCTTATTCATGAAAATGTACTTTAAGCATTTTTGCGCCTGTCCCAAGTCAGGAGCCTCTAGCCTTTGTTAGTCTTGTATTATTTTTGATTTTAGTTTCTTGTGTACAATTTGGAGTTTAGTATGGCGTTCATTATCACTGAACTAGTATATATATTTGTTTAGGGGCCAGCTGAAGGACGCCTCCGGGTGCGGGAATTTCTCGCTGCATTGAAGACCTGTTGGTGACCTTCTGCTGTTGTTTGTTCTATGGTCGGGTTGTTGTCTCTTTGACAAATTCCCCATTTCCATTCTCAATTTTATTTAAGATAGAAGTTGGATTCCCTTTTTTATGCCGAAAAACTTGATGAGCCTTTACTTTTGGATCTTTAAAATGCATAAGTTAAAACAATCGCTTTTTTATAAATGTTTTTGGTAACTATTAGCCTTAAACTTCTGAAATTTTCTTGTCTATCCTTTCACGAAATATTTCCATACATTTTTTTCAAAATTCGCCTTGACAAACAATTATACAATAACTTTAAGTTTTATAAAACATACATATATATTAAATGGAGAAACCATTGTCTTTACAAATACAACTTTCACGTACGGATCGTAATGAACCAATATATGTGAATAAAATTGACGAAAACGCGTCATCTCTACATGGTCTACGTTACCGTTTTCTTGATAAAGAAAACAAACACGATTGTATATACAGATAACAATATAAATTATAAGATTTGCGGATTCCACAATAATTTAAATCAAAGATTGGAAAGAGGAATATTTTATTTCTTTATACATTTTTGGAAAATTGATGAAATACTAAAGCAACTATTTCAATGTAACAGCTATTTCAGATGACAGCTTTTGCGTATATTTTTCATAGCAAAACTGATTTAGCCCTAGTTACACTCACTTTAGAGATTGACCTATACGTCAAATACGTCATTGGAATATTCCATTTTACTCTAAGTGCTATTTTCAACATTTGATTGGTTGTGTTAAACTTTGTGGATACATGTACATCGGATACGTTGGAGAAACATTTCATTTGTGATGCTGTTATTTCATTGATGGTTCGATACGTATAGAAGTTTCACACGAAGGTTCCATTTTATTTGTCGTGCTAATCAAGCGATCCTTGCTCGGCTTCATTGTACTCGTCATCTGATTGGTTTGTCTATACGTATAGTGGTTTACAGAAACTTTTCCAGAATATTCTATTTTAAGTCTCTATGGAGTGATATCCAATCAATCTTGGTTTATGTTTCACTTGATACATTTTTTTGAATTTTTTAGATAATAAAATTGTGAAAAAAACAAGTATCTTAAAAGATCCCATAAGACAACGTTGAATTCAAACACACCTTAATTTAAAAGTTAAAAAAGTTGAGCACAGCTTGTATAATACATGAGGCGTGTTTGAGTTAACTTTATGGATACGTTGGAGGAACATTCCATTTTTGATGTTGTTATTTCATTGGCTGCTCGATACGTAAGAGAGTTCCATTGTATTTGCCGTGCTCATTAAGCGGACCTTGCTCGGCTTCAGTGTATTCGTCTTCTTTGTTTATCTGTACATATAATGGTTTACAGAAACTTTTTTCGGAATATTTTATTTTGAGTCTCTAGAAAATGATATAAATTCATTCTTGCTCAGAATTTCACATGATAAATATGTGATTTTTTTATCTACATCAAACATGGACTAAAAGTCTCAATTCAGTTGTTCTTCTTCCTCTTGTTAAACAGGGATTGTTCTGTTCTTATTTCCTTATTATTTACTTTTATGGTCCAGTTGAGTTCTACAAATCTTCAAAAAAAAAACAATAAAAAAATCCCGATTTTCATATATGGTAGCTGAATTTTATATTCCATATGTTTCTAATTGTCATACGAACTTTGATATTGTTTACCAGACGATTTTTTCTATTAATAATGATGTTATCCATTAGGTGTTCGTGAGTTCGTACTTAACAGTATAACCACAACAGCCATTCCTTTGTTCTCAGAAGTACCATTCGCTAAAATACAAATAAAATACCCTTGACCAAGATAATCTCCATTCATATTTAAATTAAGCTCTTTAGAATTAAGAATAGACCATCTGACCAGTTGCCGCTCTCCACGTTCGACTCGTTTTCTTAATTACTGTTTATGTACCTTGTTAAGAAATTTTAAACACAAGACATAATAGCGAACGACTTAAAGACTAAAGCAAAAATTCTGAAATTAATTGTCAGAGTTCGTATACAACATGGATAAATATAAACTGCAAATTAGGCAATGTAATTAAAAAAAATGATTTTTGATAATTCA